ATAGCCATGTTCGTTATCAGTCTCTATGACTTCCTGTCTTACGCCTTAGGGCTAGGCATGCAGCTGCTCGGCGTCGTTGGCTCGCACGCTTTTCACAACACTGAAACATGTCTAAGTGATCGCGAGCCGCTCAAAAACGTACAATTCAGCTAACGAACCAGAAGCCCGTAATTATCCAGGTGGCATTCAAAGAGATGGATAGCTTCAATTCTGGCCCAATGTCGATCCGGAACGCGCCACGGGCCGTAAGCAAACCGCACAATTTCCGCCGAAACGTGCTCCGATACTCGTGGCTATCCCTGCACACTCCCATTGCCCGGCCGGGTCGCACCACTCACAGCAGCTGGCTCGGGTGTCACACATCTGGCCACATAATAAGTTTTTAGGGCGACGCCAACAAATGAGATGGCCTCAGTCCCCACCCGGATGAACCGGCACCCCGCCATGTTGCGAAACCATTAAGCGCGATGGCACTGCCTACGCTGTACCACAAAAACGGGCCGCGTATAAACGTTCCCACGCCGGCATTCAGGCTACTTCTGAAAAAGACCACAGCACTGCCGAATGCGTTTCGTGAGGGGGGCCATCTGATAGAGTACAGTTAGCGCTGAGAGAGGCTATCATTGGAGAGGGGGGGGGGAGACATAATAACTCAAGCTGCGCTCTGAAAATGTGAGTTTGACCGCCACATTGGTTTGTCCAGACGGGCTCTTACTTGATGCACGATAAGCTGATCAAAAATATGAGTGCTACAATGCCGCAGTACGTATCGTATAATGGCCTCGTCATCACCGCTGCCTTCTCCGGCAGCGGCGAGGGCCGAGATGGCCGGCCACCTCTCCGTGGACGTGACGACTAGATAAGCGTTGTTATGCATATGAGCTGGCTTTCGAGCCGGCGAAGATGGCGCGGATGTGATGAGCATACTTCTCTATCTGCAACACAGCCCAGGCGCGCTCTGGCCCTCAGATCATACATTCCCCGGACGCAGGCGTGCAGTCACGATATTCTTATAGGGTGGAGGGGAGGGGAAGGGGGCGTAGTTCGGTGAGTGCACATCACGCCGATTTTACCTTTTTGTCTGGAGCCATTCATGGGGAAAATGGGAGGGGGGGGGGGGGAGATCCTAACAAGGGAGCAAAGCACTGCTCTCCTGGCTACGCTTCTGCGCGATCGTACGGTCTATACGGACGTCCTCTTTAACGCATCGACGTCGACGACTTCGTGGACGCCCACTTGGAGGTCGCCGTCCCCGGCCGCCGGATGGCTGGGGTCACGAAAACCGG